TCCCCCACGGATGAACACGCGGTACGCGTCCCGGAAACGATGAATTTGCGAGTCTCAAGGGTGGATAATGGCTGATGCGGTACACCGTTGTAAACGCGGGGTGGCGAGAAGAAGCGGAGCGCGGTGACTCGGGCGAATTTGTGAAACGATTATAGAATCTGCCCGAGCGCATGCCCTCGGGGCAGGGGGGGGGACAGGGGCGGAGGTGTAGGCCGAGGATGGGAATCCCCAGGAACAACCCTCCGTATTGTTGCTCTCTTCGGCGGTTCACGCCGAATGAGTTTCGTACGACGATATAATGGCGTATCGCGACGATGAACAGGCGGGTTTTCTCTCGCGCGTAATGACGGATGCATTTTGAATACGGCATTAACGAGCAATTAATGATAGTGTATCTTTCTGCGACAACAATGATCTGTCATGATGTCAGCGGTTTTTTTGTACGAAAGCGATTATTTCTGTTCGTCAAGTGCATGGCAGACAAACATGTTTTTGAGTATTTATCAAAGGAGCAATTAGGAAATTTCCATATGTATCTCTTTTTTGTATTAAATTATTATAACAGAATTTATTTTATCCCATTATATATATATATATAGAAAAGAGGTTTTTAATTGTTTATAATTTCTTTCATTCATCTTTATGGTTTTATCTTTAATTGCTGTAACTTGTACCTTATATAAATATATTATTTTTAGAACCAGATAGCTGTGATATCATATAAATATGTAGAATAAATAGAAACGGGTAATTAAATTGTGTTTTAATTAAATCACAATCAATCTGTGATTTTAATACGGATCGATTTTTATACAACTGATTACTACAATGTAAAAATCGCTGGAAATTATACATCTTTAAATATACCTAAGAGTATTTTTTGGAACAGCTGTATTTAAAGACTGTTTGTATTTAGCTATAATAATAACATAGAGCGGATTATAATTACATATTGTGAACAAGTCTAATTCTCTGTCAGAGCAGTTTAATATCAAATGACATATAATTTGATCGGATACTTTCATCGTTGAGACTTAACTCAGCGTAGATAAAATCGAATAAGTTCAGTCCGCCGGAAACATAATTGCGATTTATGTCTTGCCATTGTTCTCGAGGGGGACCGTCTGCTCACTTGCTCCCCCCCTTTGTGAAATACATTTTCGCGATGCCCGAGTGACTGCGGGAAAATCTTTAATTCACCCCTAGTATGCCCGCGCCCACCACTCGCCTAAGCGGGCCGGAAATGATGAATTTGCGAGTCTTATCGCGAGAACGAAACGACGTTTCATGACGGTGCGAGAACGGCAAATAAATAAGCTGTCCTTACGAACGAGAGACAATGCTCTCGGGGACGTAATCCTTGGCGACTCGCCCTCTCTTGATTACGAAATCTCTTATCGGAAATGACGGCGCCGTGAGAGTAAAATTAGACCTACTATAGGGATCCCCGCCATTGTGCATAGGCTACTGAAATGACAGCTGGCCGAAATTATAATTCCCATTGTGTTTCGAGATAGTCCTGAGATCAAGGGCTCGATAGCAGAACGAAAGCATATTTTCGGGCTGAAAGTCGTGTCATTAATCAAAACGACTTGCCGCTTGATTGTGACTATTGTACGTAATGCACGGTCGGAGACAATTAGCGACGACCAGGAAGATTTAACACATTTCTCATACCATTCACCCAGTTTCGAAGTTTAAGCAAACTTTGTTTAAGCAAATGCCGGTGACGTTTAAGCGAACGTTGCAAGTGTCTTATCGCGATATCTTCTCCCCTAGATATAGACTTCAGCTCGAATGTACCGTCGAAACTTATCGCAATTTGTATAAGCTTGACCTCTTACGTGTGAATTTTCGAGAAGTACTTCGCCCGTTATCGCACACGTTAAAGTTGGGATGTGAATGTAGTTGCTTCCACAGCACAATCAAACAGTTTAATGAAATGGCTGTAGTTTAATTACAGTAAAAAATATAGCGAATTGTTAACCGAATTTTGATAAATTTAATCACAGATGTTTATTTCTATTTTTAATCGAAATAAATTCAACGAAGCGTGAGAACATTTCATATTTTTTGTTTATATAAAAAAAATATGCTCTTTGATATTCGAGAAACTGTGTCACGAATTTACACTAACTGAAAAGATATTAAACTTGAAAAAGGATTTTAAAAGAGATTCTAGAATTAATAAGCAGCGCGAATTGAATGTTTTTTTTTTTGCGAGGTACTTAAAATATGCTCGCTTGATGATTGTCATACTTCATTGCGTAGTTAGATCTGATAGATCCGTTCCGGCTTATAGAAAGATGTCGTAAAAGCAGCTTAAAGTCCTCCTCGAGTTTGCTGGGGAGCAGGGCAAAGCGCGCGCAGGCGAGATCCTTTAATTGACCGCACGCAAGAACTCGTCCCGATGAGTCTTAGGCCAATTAAGGAAGTTCCTCCGTTAGGAAGGTTTGTAACCTTTCCGCGTCCTCGCACGGGCTATTACAGAAATTAACGGTTCTCTCTCGGTTTCTCGGACGATGCATTTGCATTATCCGCGATGAAATAATCATCTCGCGCAGATTTCGCCGGAGATATCTTTAACGAAGCCACAACGACAGAAGTAATTAAAATAAATGGTAAATTATTCAAAGATAATAAGCATCGGAAATGAAATGAAATTAATATTTATTTCATGATGTACATAGTACAGATCTTTCGTAAAAGCGAAGTAGCATAACACAGGGAATATCTGTATTTATTTTTGCGATATGATTATTTTTTGAATAAATATATCTAGAAATATAAACTGAGAAAACTGAGCCGTCGAGAATAAATTTTATAGATATGGTAGCTGAAAGAATTCTACTCTGTTTTGTCCTTTTCGGGGCGGTACGTCTTTGAATTTTGTTCAAAATTTCTGTTATATTTTCATTCTTCTAATATCTACGACAAGAGTAGATTGTACGGAAATTTTTCGCGGGAACGGGAGAGTCGACTTTTTTCCGCCGGCAATTTGCGGCGGTTTTAATTTTCGTGCCATTGTCGATTACGTCAGACGCGATTTGCGTCACACGCGAGCTGCTCGCTTGCATCAGCGGCGTAGTCCGGTTCTCTATTCTCTATCTCGAGCCCGCTTTTTTAATCCGTATTCAATTATTTTTGCAGCATCCACCGTTTCGCGGTTTCAGTATTTACGAGATCAACTGTTACACAGCGACGCGCTCTCGCATCCAGTGTAAAAAAAAAAGAATTATTTAGGCGAACTGGCCCCGATCCCGTATTTCGATTACACGGCTCACTCATCACATTGTGCTTGCATTGCCGTATATATACTATATATATATATATATTTTTTTTTTCACTGACCGTTCGATCTCTCTCCCGTGAAACGCTCGCGCTGTCAATTTGACAATCAGTGATAGCACGCACGTGTGTGCGGGAAGCGATGTAACGCGAACGTAAATCCATTATCGTCCCACTTAATCCGCGCGAAACGGAAATCGACCGTCAGTTGGGATATGTGGGCACTCGTCGTGTTTTAAGCTCGATCACAGTTAACCGCGTGTAATCGCGAATCGGCGCGCTTCTCCACGCAACTCGAGAAATTCCCACGGACTTAACGAGTGGTTCCAGTTGCGGCCGCCGCGCCCGGTACCCCGTAAATTCGATAATGATTCCCTCGTTGCGCCGTCATTTCCATTCGTCAGGTAGTTCGAGCTTTACGTGCGCGAAGTTAACGAGCTAATGAGCTTGCAAAGCTGGCGCCGCGAGAGAGAAAAGGAGAGAGGGAGGAAGAGAGATATAGAGAAAGCAGGCGAGCGAGCATCTATTCTGCATTACGCCATTGATGCAGTTTACGTCCGGATGACGCGGGACGAGCAGAGGAAGAGAGGAGGAGGGCAGAAGCAGAAACAGGAGGAGGAGGAGGAGGTCACGGAGCGTTTCCCAGTTAGGGCAATTCCGCACTTTCGCTCGCCGCAATTAATTAGCTCAATTCCCGCTTCCTGTTATGCCTGCCGCCACGCTGAGCCGCGCCGTGCCGACGGCGTCGGGGACACCCGTCGCGCACGCCTGCATTCCGACGACGACGCTCGCATACCGTCGTCATAGTTCACGTACGCATCTCGGTCCCCGAAGTTGCTTTCCGTCGCGCGCCGCAAACCATGAACGCCGAGACGACGCCGATCTGCCTCTCCGTGTTGTGCATTTACGTGATGACGGCGCCGCCGCCACCCCCGCTGCCGGGGACGGTGTCGCCTCGTCCCACTCGCGTGGGTAAGACTGCAACCGTGCGGGTTTATCTCTCCAGGGAGTTGCTTCACATTGCGTGATTTTAAGAGAAAAAAAAACAGGTTAATTTTTATCTACTCGTTAAAATTAGAATGAATGATGAGATTTAACGCGACAAATTTAGGAAAGTATCTGGAAATAATAGTGAATCGTGTCTCCCTTATTGTCCTGTATATTTTAATTGAGATACATGTACATCTTTTTTTAAACATGGTTGATATTCTTGAAAAAAAGGAATTGAAATTTTAGGGAAGCTCATATATTCAAAATTTAGTACTCAAAATAATGATAAACTCGACGATTTATTATCTACTTTAGCATAATCTTTTTAAAGCAAATATACAATAATTATGGTAATAAATTAGAATAGATATGCAAGTGTAAATTGTAGACTTTAAAAATTTATAAATGTTAAAGTTTTAGTAACAAAAAGTTGTAAATCTAGGCACTTAAGATAAATGTCGTTGAAAATTACTGAAGATATGCGAATGCAATTACTTGCACGCTTATCGTTCCTATACTTTTTGCATTTATGCAAAAATAAATAATGATTGTCACAATGCCCCCGCTAATTATGTCATTATCGAAACCGGTGTTTTTCGCCGGTCTATGGCGACTACGATCATTTATGTTACACACGCAAACACATACATATATACACACGCACGCACGCACTTGTCTTTCTTGTCAGCATAATGACGTTCGTGATTTTCTTCTTGTTGCAGCTTACGCGAACGCGGCGGATCCGTACTTGGACATCCTGCCGAACGGCGAGACGCAGACGAAGCCGATCGGCTCCAGCATCATTCTTACGTGCAAACCGAAGGTAGATGATCCATCGCTCGTCAGCCAGATGCAATGGCTCGATCCGCTGAACCGCCCGATCGAGTTTCTCAAGTAAGTCGATTATCACAATCTTTTCTTCTTTTTTTGCTTATAAATTAATATTTTCAAGATTACTCAAGAGCGTTTACGTCAACGGCGCTTCTCTATCTATATTATAATTAGCAATCGAGAAGATGACAGTTAATTAGTCGAAGATATAAGCTGTTAGTGTTACGATGCTTTTCTGAGGAGTTGTTACGTCCAACCAATTATAAGAATGATGAATCTAGAGAGTCTTCCTTTTCCGTCGTTGATATTTACATACGAATTGCTGTATTAATCAATTACATTCAAGCGAATAATATATTTCACGTCAAGCTTCGTTAAAGTACTTGCAAAATTTATTTTAATTGAGAAGTGAAATTTACTGAAGCAATGCACACAATGAATTATTGAAATAATTCTGAAATGGCGTTTCTTTTTATTAAGATTACGAGTAAAATGTTAACATTTGATAATTATACACGTCGTGTTTTTAATAATTTTACAGAATGTAATTATAAATTTTAATCATGATTATTGATGAGATTATTAACTCTTCGCAGAACATGTGTAATTCTACTGCTTTCGTCGATCAAGTGGGTCTTTTACGCCAGTTAAGATTTTCAAGCTGTAATGGTGCCATAAAAAATCTAAAAAAATTCAAGTATACTTTCAAAGGATAAAGAATTTATATCGTTATATATGCCTGATTCTTGTTTAGGGTTTTTTTTATGAGTCCGTAAAATCTCCGTAAAATTTGAAATGGAAATATCGAGTGAGTCTTGGAAGCCCCATTTATTCTGCGAAGGGTTAATAATCTGAGTCTTTATAAAGAGCACAAATTATTAAAAGTTTAACTCAACAGAATTATACATATTTAAACACACAAACGGGAAAGTTTGGTGCGACACTAATTCAACAAATTTTTATTACTTGTAAAGCATACTCACATATCGCCTTCTTACCGTTTGGAAAACGAGTATAAAACCCGTTGAATTGAAAATCTAACATGCAGCTAGTAGTAGTGCTCGTTCGTGTGCTGCTTCTCCACCTCTCTCTCACTTTGCGGATACACTCACCCGTCACTTCACCCCGAGTTCGATACAATCATTTTCCCACGATGTAGCCACGTTTCCCGCAGTCCGCGCCACGGAGCTCTTAATTGCTGCAACGCGAACCGATTGCAGTTCGCGAACCGGCTATTGCTCGTTAAGCCGACTGGAAAAGTTTCGAACGCTCGCACCGGTGTACCTGACTTATTGAATGCCCTCACATGCCGAGAAAACTCGTTGGCCCGAAAAAAAAATTTATCGAACAACGAACGAATTTTTCGTTTATACGTTCATGCATATCGAGAACCTAGAATCATTGTTCTTTCAACGGGATCTGTTAATAATTCAAATTTGACTTTGTTTATCGCAAGAGAAAAAGAGGGGAGGGGGAGGGAGAGAGAGAGAGAGAGAGAGAGGGAGAGCGATTTCGATTATACGTAAATTTTTAGCATTGAGGACAATTATAAAGTTAATCCACTTAATTTTTTAACACGTGGTGTCAAAGTAAAATTTAAAACCTTTCAATTGTTTAAAAGATTTTTTTTTTACATTTTTGAAATTCACTTGTACTCTTTAATTTTGAATTTTAACTAGTTTTATAATTGAAATACTCGAGCTCGCAGGATTAAAAATGAAACACGATCTTTCTAGGGCACTGCGCATTTGTATGTAGTATGTGTATGCATCAGCAGTAATTAAGCAGCTTCATAATAGCGCAGTTCTGTGCATACTCGCAAACACTATTTCACTTTCATCTGCAATATTTATTTCTTTATTCGTGCGAGTCTGTCCGATATTGCTAACAATTAATGTAATGTGTCGCTCCATATTGTGCGAAATATTTAATCCAACAACCAAATAATCTAACGAACGTTAACCCTGGTAACTGATTCGTCATGTCGCGTGTTTGCACGATTACTCGAACCCCGAGTACGATTTGCATAATTAAGTACATTCGTCGTCAAGAGTGCCGCGTGTGACATTCCCGGATAAAATCGTCCCGTTTCGGGCTATTTTACGCCTCTCAATTATACGTTCTTCACAGCGTCATTACACGAATACAGGCTGTTACGAAAATCGATACGTCGAGAACAAACTGAACCAGAAAAAAAATTCACGTGCCATTTATTTAATTTAAAAAAAAAACTATATATAAGAATTTTTGTCGGGATTTTTCGATCGTTCTATATACACGTAATTGACAGATTGTGATAACAGTGTCATTTTTTTCCAAAGATTTCGCATATCAATCATCGTTATTACTTGTTCTGTATTCGTGCATCGTGATTGTCATAATACTCTGCTACTCCGCAATAACAAATTAATTTCTGGACGTTCACGGTATTTTCCGTATGATATTTTCCATATTGTTCGATATTTTCCATATTTTCTGTTCGAAATATTAAACTCGATGCGACGTATCTCCAATGATTATCCGTTCTCTGAAGATGTAAACGCGGTCGCGGAGCAGCTGCGCTTCTAGCCCTATCACTTCCAACCACCCTCTTAATCCGCAAAATCCATATTCGTAACCTTCATCATCGACGTCACGCGATATTACATCCGGCATCTCGTCGCCCGATACACTATATGGAAATTGCTTGAATACATCATACCATCATATACCTGTACCTGTACTCGCATCATACGCCGATACGCCATGCCATATTGTGCAACGTTGAATAATACGAGGTCATGTGAATGCATCTCGTTGTCGTTTACACGTCATTCTCGCGTCATCCACGAAGAACACGTATGCACGAGCGCAATATCACCATGCGATGTCATTGATCATTACCGTCAATTGGTGCGTGCTCTGACCGATGTTGCGAGTTGTTTCGTTTGCAAACTGTGACGTTATTCTCCACAGCACGTACGCGGGCACGAAGCCGACCATGTACACCGAATTGCATCAGGATAGCAGTCTGTCCCTGTTCTTTAATTCCCTTCAGGAGGATCAGGCCGGGAAGTACACGTGCAAGGGAAATTATGCGCGTAATGTGCAGTTGAGCAAGTCCGTGACAATCGATACTATTAGTGAGTATAGAATTTAAAATTCCGTCGCGTTTTAATTTTTAAGTGAAATTATTCCGATACGGAATAAAATATCTCCCAGCGCGAAGTATAACGAGCAGGATTTAATTAATTTAACGATGAAATGTGATCTAAAAGTCCATATAGTGCATATAAATTTATAACGATAGTAAAATTTTTTTTTTATTAAAACTTTATTAGGAATTGTGCATAACTTTTTAATAAGGCAGACATTATCAAATAAATGGGTATTTCATTTCAATTAATATTTTTGGCAGTCATATTAGAGACATATTCATTTTAAGTTAATATTTTTTAGACATATCAGACATTCACTATATAACAGTAAAAATCTCAGTTTTTAAATCTAAATGGACTTAAATTAGTTAAATAACATGCATATTTTTTTCTTCCGGGAGATCGACGTGCGTCGCAACATTTTTCCAAACAGAATTTTCGATTTGTTATCAATAGTTGCGATCACGTGGGACAATGCGCCGCCAAATCAGTATCCCATTCTCGGGGAAGACTTTGATATTCAGTGTCAAGTACGCGCTAGGCCACCGCCTTCGGTTGATTGGCTTTACAACGGAGAACTGATCAAGACGAACGATCACTACGTTATAACCACTTACGCCTTGAAGATCAAGAAGGTTCAAGCGTCCGACGACGGCATATATACGTGTCGTGCGTCGGTGCAGACCACAGGAGAATTGAAAGAGCGACCTATCCGCGTTGAGGTACTTTTTTAGTGATTACATAGCACTAACTAAAAAAAAATCACAAGTTATTTCAGAAACTGCATAAATATTTCCTTTAAACTGAATTTACTAAATAATTATTATCATTACGTTTTTTGTTACACTCATTAATTGTCGTACGTTAGCCGCTGCTTTATCACAACAACATTACAGCTAGTGATTTTATTTTCATTAACGCACTATCAATTTGCTAATATGTTTTCTTTAATTTACTGTTAATTTTTAGAGACATTTTATCCGAGAATTTAAATAAATCTGTGTGTCTATTTATCTTTTAATTGTCTAATATAACTCTCTGTAAATAAACAATTTTCTTCGTTAATTCTTACTAGGTACACATAAGACCTATGATCGAAGAGATCCTGAGCCCGGTAGACATCATCGAAGGCGAAAACGCAAACCTTAAGTGTGGCAACAAAGTTACTGGCAAGCCGCCACCAACGGTGCAATGGGTTAAATCTCTCACTCAACAGAACCTGTCTACCGCCGATCGCTTCCACGTCAATTCGGTCACAGGTGTGGTCACCATTACAAATGTGAATCGCGAAGACGCGGGCGAGTATCAGTGCATCGCGCACAACGCCGCCGGCGATGCCAACGCCAACATCTTGGTGAACGTGATCGTCAAGCCGAAAATTATGGAATTCGTGAACAAGACTGTGGTGGAAGGCAAAGACGTAGATATTAAATGCAAAGCCTTCGGCCGACCACCGCCCGAGGTGACCTTCAGGAAGCTCACCGCTGACAAGCCGTACGAGACGGGCGCTCAGTCGCAAGATGACCGGATCAACGTGAAGAACGATGCGGACGACGTGTCCGGTGAGACTGTTGGCACCTTGTCGATATTTAACGCTCTCACCGACAACGACGGCCTGTACGAATGCGTGGCGAAAAATACCGGCGGTGTCGCCTACAAGAACGGTCATCTGACCGTGGAGTTCCCGCCCTCCTTCCGCAACATGCCGAACGCCACGGTTTGGTCCTGGGACGCCCGACCGGTGAATCTCACCTGCATCGCCGAGAGCATACCGAACGCGACGATACGCTGGACCTTTTACGGGGATCAGAGGATCCCCGACAACGACGGCAATATCCAGCAGATTGGTAACGGACCGAAGTCCATTCTCATGATAAAACCGTATGACCGGAGATTTTACACTAATTATAAATGCATCGCTATGAATACTCACGGCACGCGGGAACACTTGATCGAGCTGAGGGAAGCGAGCAGACCCGGACAGCTCTTGAACGTCAAGATGGTCGAGATCACTGCCACAACGATAAAATTCGATCTGATACCGCCTTTGCAACCAGATTTACCTATCATGACTATTTCCGTGCAATACAAAGAACAAAACTGGCAGACCTGGCAAAACGCGATGAACAAGACGTGGTCTGTCGGTAAGTCTTACAATTAAATTTATGTTTTTTCAATTATATTGAATTTACATAAAAAAAAGTAACCTTATTTAAATCAATAAATTAATCAACTTTTATTGGATATATTTGAGAACATTTATTGCAATATTTTACTTCTGAATACGTAAATAATTAAGAAACGCGAAACTTTAAGTTTATTCGTGAGAATATAAAGTATATGAGGAAAAGTAGGAAGTCCAACTTAGAATCTATGGTGGTATATATTTACAAGTATAAAAATAATAAATTGAATATAATATAAAACATACGCGCATATATCTTTTTATGTTGTTTTCTTTTGATGTTTTCTTTTACGTGATTTAACATACTTTTATCTCAAGCTTTTTAATTTATAATAGTTAAATGTTATGCGAACAATTCCCTTCAGGTTCCGTATATGTCATTGAGGGTTTGAAACCGCAGACGCCCTACGAGTTCCGTTTCGCGGCGAGAAACCAGGTCGGCCTGGGTAACTGGGGTAACTTGCACATTGAAACCACACCCGGCAGGACGGTGCCGAAGGAGCCGAAGATCATGACGACGCCGGGCTCTGAATACGAGCTTTCTCCGTACAGTCACCAGTACGAGCTTAGCTGGACAACGCCGCCGGATAATGGTGAACCCATAGACCTGTACCTGATCAAGTGCTGCCAGATAAGACGCGTCACCGGCGACTGGGAAATGTTGACTGATACCTGCCGCTCGTTGGAGGTCAATCCAGGCAGGACGAGGCAGTATATCAAAGATCTGAAATACGATACTTTCTACTCGGTCGAGTTGCAGGCTCACAACGTGATGGGCTACAGCAATCCCGGATACGCCAAGTTCAGGACGGCTAGAGGTAAGTTGGTGGTCTTTCGCAATTAATTCTCGGTGTTCCTACGATCCAACATAATTATTGCCATGACGTATCTACATTTCTCGTAATGATTTTCACTCGAGATATATAATTCCTTTTGAAATATATACTATATGTGCACGAAGCTACTGCACTAAATTTTTTTTTCTTCGCGATCTCTTCAAATCGTTTGTCAGTTTGTCGCCCCTATTTTTGTTTGTTCAACGGGGAGGGAAAAGGGTTATTTGAGGTCTTTCGTTTTTTTCGCCTAGGAGGTTTCCACTCAGTTTAACTATCTTTTTTTTTTTTTTATTAATTTTCTCAGTAACTTTTTTAATTGGTTTTGTCGATGGCGAAACGATCTTGTAATCGCCAGAAAGCCCTAAATAATTATTTTATAAGCCCGCTAAGCATTTTAATGTTATTTTTTAAGCAGTTTACGTGTTTTATAAATTCATTATTAATATTAGTAGAATGCAAGATGATAAAAAGAAAATATTTACATTGTAAGTGTATAATACTTTGCATTCTTATTTCTATTTCTAGATATAATGTACATTTCATAGGATTTTTATATTAATACTTGTAATAATTTTCATACGATTCGATTTTTTATGCACGTTATATAGCTTGCCTCCTATTTTACGCAAAATGAAAAATGATTGTTATAAAAAAATAGCAAGCCCCCGGCTCTTCTGGCGTTAATCAAGATTATAGGATTTGATGAAGTCCTCAGATCCCTTGACCCTTGACGCAAGACACCAACTAGCTAAAGCTACCCGGTGACCGTCGGCGGGCTTGTAAAAACGTTAAAGATATTTTACGCGACGACGACATCCGTACTTGGAGCAGAGAAGATCTTTTTTATTACACAAAGCCTTTTTATCCATTCAGAATCTACGGGCATCACTGTGGACTACAGTAATGCTGGTGATACTTGCAAGACCGGCGTCGCCATTACCGCAGCAGTAATGCTCCTATCTCTAGCCATTTAGAGTCGCCGTCAGGGATATTTGCTCCTCGCGCTCTAATCCTCCCTCCGTCGTGAACGCACGCGATAGGAAGCGAGGCGAATTCGCGAGGCCGACAGTACAAGCGAGACACCACGATGGACGAAAGTGACACACACGCTCCACTAATATAACACACCCCTTTTCGTGATTTCCTGCGACTCGACGTGTTTCGTTCGAATCCGAATCGAATTACCTAGATGAATCTCGGATACGAAAGCGTTTTCCGTTTGACACGATTTCGTGCGAGACACGACGGCGAAAGTTAATCGCGGGACATTTGTACACGATTGTGTCGTTCATTTATACATCCATTTAGCAGTAAAACGATCGACAACGAAGAACTCGAGTAAATTGATACGTTCGCCGGTACATTCCGAGAGTAAAAGGAGTAGCATTTAAGTGGGTTCTGTAAGAAGGAAGAACGTGAAAAGACGCGATGCGAAGTGTATTTATACGTATTATTTGTTAAATGCTCACTGCGTGTTAGTATGAACTATGAACGTACTGGTACGTTTTCTATCATTTTTCTTTTTTCATACATAAGTTTAAGGCTGTACTTTGGTGACTTCTGTAAGAGACCGGGTGCCGCAGTGCGCAAAGATAATGTTCCCTCGCGCCGCCTTGGCGCGAGAGAATTCACGTAACCAAAACGAATAACGTACCTACTGTACCAATTATTTCGCGCGTTACGACTTTTGTTTCTTAATTAGAGTCAGATTTATGCATTTTTTAACCGAGCTAAGGATACATAAGTCACGACTACGCTTCGTCAACTTTTGCAGTTTACGAACTTTTGTATGGTATGTTATATCGATAAGTAAAAAGGAGAATGTGCTTCCCTACACATAGGTTGGTTCGAGCATAAATTAACGATTTATGTCGGATGTGACTATATACGAGCGTGAGGCTATATAAAGGTAGTGACCGTAAGAGTGCTACTGCCCTGAATTGTCGACTACTCACGCGCAAAGTTTACGCAGAGTTTACGCGACGAAAAGGAAGGATATTATAATCGATATTAAGGGAACGAACAGCCGCGATTAGAATCACGGCTACTCGTAAATCACGCACGAATATACGAATATAATAATTGTTGGCCCTTTGAATACTTACAATTGGAGCATTGGAACTGTTTACTGAGTTTGCTAATTAATATACGTCGAAAGTATTTTTAGACAAAACTTTTTTCACGTCTTTTGCGATCTGATTTTTATAAAGAGAAATTAACGAATGTTTTAGAAAAAGATTGATTGAAGAATAAAAAGGAGCGAAAAGAATAATGGAGCAATTAAGGAAACGCGATCGATAAAGTACTCGGAAAATCGCTAATCCGTCATAGCAGTCGGAAAAAAAAATTAATAAAGTTATGCAACGCGTAGAAACGACGGGTGCTTATCTTTACGAAAAAAAATCCGTTTTTATCGAGGCCTTGAGAGGTGGGACATTTTCCTCCTTTGTAAAAATCGACACTTTTATATCCATGATTCGCGTTTGTGCGAGATTCTTATACGAGGCAAAGAATTTCACACGAGCGAGCGAAACTCCTCGCGAAGTCGCATCACGCACACAAGATCCTGGAACTTTAATCCTAGAACCCGACCTCTGCAACGTGAATAAAGATCTGACCATGAAGAGACAAATGAATAAAGAAATTCTGCGATGCTGTAACGAATTATCGGTTTAATCTCGAAGACAATTCTTTTCGTATTTTTACACGATACGGCAGTAAATTGCTTTCATTTAAATTGCTGTGTTTTACGTGCAATTGATTTCTATGCATTTTTATATCACTTAATACGACAATATAAAATCATTACAGTATAAATTCTTCAAAAATTATTTATTCGGAGTGGAAATCTCATCGTAAATTTTTATGGATTATAAAGTAATCTGTAATTCTACGGTCGGGTTCTACGATTAATCGCGAGACAAAAATCCGAAAGAATACGACGACTCACACGACTGCCATTTAATATTTTAGTTTGATTAATTTTGTATGAAAATTGCGTCTGATTTTTCTCTCCTCTCTTGCCTTCGATTTGTTTATCTTTTTTCTTTTGTAATCTTTATTTTTTTGGGAATTTATTCAATCATTAGTTTCGCTTGACTAGTTTTGAGATACATGTTTAGTGTGCGCATGATCTGTGTGTTGCGATCATTACGATTTATACGATTTTTATTACATTTTACATTATAATTATAAATTTGTTATCGCCGTAGCTCTTACCGTATCCATAACCGCCGCCACCGGCAGTAGCCGCCATCACCGCCGCCGTAATTATCACTAGTAACTACTGTCGTGATTAATCACTAATCTCGGGCGATGAGATAAGGAATCGAGATCGGTTTAATTTTAACTAGTTTAGATTTCGATGTGAAAGATACGCAAACTGTTCTCCAATATCGAGCGGAGTAACTGGAACATTCAGTTAAATTGTTACAAACACAATAGTCTACAATAAATGAAATTGCGAAATGACTTTCTAAGGATAGCAAATGAAAGTAGTTAAAATTATAAAAAAAAAAAACTAACTAGAAATCACAGAAATTAAAAGTCACTGTTGGAAATTAAAAGTCGCAGTTATTGTTAACTTTAACATTGGAAATTCGTTGAATTTTCTCATTTACTTCATTCCTCCATTTCGTGACGTAGTTATTCGGTGGAACCGCGCGACGATTGGTGTAAAGTGCATTTTCTTTTTCTGTTCTTTCACTCGAAAATTGAACTCGAAATTATACGGTTTCGATTCCTGGATAAGAGACTACAAAAGGAGCGCGATTCGATCTCGAAGGCCTGGTCGTATCGGAACGCGGGCGGTCTTTTACCTCAAGTGCCTGTACACACACACGTACACCCCCACACACATATACACATACGCATTGATCGCCTCCCCGCAAAGCTCAACGCGAAAACACCGACGATCGATCTCGATGTGACGAGGTCTTCGACCTAAATCTTTTTACGTCTCTTTTATGTCTGTTCGCAATGCCTGGGTTCTTATAGATATTAGTTCACAACGCATGGCATGCGCTTTGTTATCATTACTCCCCCTCTTATTTTTTTTTTTAACTTAGCGATGCGTCACGCCGAGCCTCATCGGCGATGTTCCCATTCCATACACGACGTCCCCGTTTCGATGAAGAACGCGGAGAACTCGTTCGCGAGTTCTCGGCATTTGATACGACGAGCTTATCGGATTTTGATGACGGATTTTTTAATAATCTCAAGACATTCTATGATAAGAATTTCAAAGACTGCGTAATTTTACGGGTCTATTATTAAAAATTAAAATATTACGAATTAAGGCTCTCTCTCCAGAAGCTCTAAATTAAACTCATATTCAAGACCTACTTCATATTTCTGTTTATTTCAAATTCAATTTCAGTAGAATTTTTATTTATTTCAAATTAAATGGCTGACAATATTGGAAATTAAAAGGTCGTTGCGTAAAAAAATTTTTGGTAATGAAAACTCGATGCCACATGCATCCGCAAAAAATCTGTCATCAAAATTTAATGCGATAAAAGTGTGAAATGGACCATATACATAACCAACACATAGCGTAAGAACAATACGATCTTAATTAACAATTATACCGAATATAATATTACCAATTGGTAATATTGCAGTGACTCGAGATGTCCCTTAGTATTCGCACGGTGCAAACAAACCTTTATCTGAGACTGAGGTATGTAGGGCATACTATCGCGAATTTATGGGAACAAACACGTCTGCAAATCTTACGAGAATGCCGGTTATAAGATCAACAACTTTTCCCGCAAATGTATTCCCACGCCTTGGAACTAGAATAACCAATAACATCCTGTGTCTCGAGAGAAAAATGGAAGTAAGATATCGGATCCGAGAGCAGAAGTGAGCTTCATCACACGGGTGGTCGAATTTCTTCTTGTCCGATTTCTTTCGCCCGCCCTTCTGTGTTTCCGAGCGATAGAATGATATTGATTAATCTAGTTTCGAGGTATCGGCAC